AGTCTTCTTCAGCAAATCCCGGTTCTTCAATGAGATTAAGGTCTGGACTCATTGGTGGCCAATCCATGTGTGAAAATGCTCTCTGAACCACTCTTTGACAGTTAGAGCCCAACGAATCCTGGCGCTGTCAAATATAATTAAAATATCCCTGTGCCACAAATGGATGGAAAAAGCTGGGCTCTCAGTATATTCAGGTAGTCAGCTGACCTTGTTTTCTGAACACAGACCACCTAAAAATTACAATGAAAATTGCAACCACAGGCTTGCATGGTAGGTACTAGGGATGGTCGATGCACCACCACTCTGGAACAGGGCAAATCTGGACTCATAAGACCACGTGATCCTTTTTTCATTCCTCCACAGTCCAATCTTTATGCTCCTTGGCAAACTGAAACCTGTTTTCCCAGTTAGCCTCATTGATAAGTGTTTTCTTCTGGCTACAGAGCTGTTTGTTCTATCGCTAAATTTTTACAATTTGATTTCACCAAACATATAAATGATCTCCAATCATTTTCAAGATTTGTGCCAATTTGCAAGGGAAACAGTAAGGGCTTAACATATTTTTGCACAAATGTTGTACTTTATATGTGAATGTTTCGTTCTTTATCGTATCTCCAGGCTAAATGCTTAAAGCACTAATTTCAGCTCTGCTTGCTATTATTAGTGCACTGCAAATATTTTGCTTGGCAAGCCCTTCACGTTTTTTCCCCCACCCCTAAAAATTCTTTATGAAATCCAATTACCTGCTAACAGAGAAACACCTGTCCATTTACCCAAGTGGTCCTTGAGACATGGAGTCCAGACTCTCACTTCTATCACTTCTTAATCCTTGTTTAGAGACAGCCCAAATCCTTGAACTTTTTTTTAAGTAGGCCAATTTACAGTAGCACCTGGGGCTCTGGCCTTTATAGCCACTTTCATATCATATGACTGTGTGTGTGCACGTGTGTTTGTTTAAAAGCCAAAAGGAGGCGAGAGGAGGGAGAAGGGAACGCCAGACCAAAAGCCAGAAGAAGAAAAAACCCTTATGCAGCTGAACTGAAACTGATGGGTGTATACAGGGGAAAGTGCAGCCATGTGGAAAAGACAACATCAGAAACAGAAACATAAACAGGAGAGTCGCAGAAAAAGCCCCCCCCCCTTTCAAAAGTAGAAATCCTGTCCATCCTCGCCTCATCCTCAGGTAATTTGGAGGCAGAATAACGTGCATACTGATGACCCGATCCCAGAGCGCTCTGACAGCAAGGAGACAGTCCATCGCCGAGGGCTGCCAGGAGCCGACACGCTACACAAACAGAAAAACACACAAAAAAAAAAGAAAAGAAAACAAAGCGGAAAAAAGTGGAGGGGGAAAAGGCGGCGATGAGGAGCAAGCATGCGGGCGAAAAGCTGTCAAAAAACAGGCGAGACAGACGGACAGATGGAAAGATGAGGAAAAAAAGGGGGCCCTATCATCTGGCTTCACACCCCGCAGGATGAACAGGGCCTCTGTGCTCCTTCCCTGTTCAAACACACCTCACGGCTGTCTGCTCCCTGCAACAACAATGCGCGCACACACACGCATGCACGCACACACACACTGCAGCCTGCCTAACAGTGGGCACAATAACCCTATTGAGAGGCATCGATAGGGGGCTGAAAGTGAAGAGAATGAGATGCTGAAAAAAGATTGACAACTCACACATACAGTCTCCCGGACCCAGCAGCACACATAAATCCACACAAACAAATCATAGCATGGTTATCCTGCCAGCATGACAGCCTGGGATGAATCTACTCTCTGCTGTCCTTAATTCATCATTCATCTGTCCAATCTGGTCACACACACCACACACACACACGACTAAAAATCACACACACAAACAGTTGTTTGGTCAGGGGCGGACCAGAAGTATTGTTACACAAGGGAAGAAGGGTGGTGGTAGCGGATCTCCGAACTCTTTATCTGATTGCTCACACACACCCACGCAGAAACGCTCAGTCACACAAGCATGTACACACACGCACACTTTCACCACGCTTTCTCGTCAGCTGCTGTGCATGACCCCGACCACACACAGACTAACGAGTTGGTGCTGCAAGGCAAGAAAGTCCCGGGATCGTTCACATGCAGCTTTATCGTCTTTCCAACAACTGCACCCATTCTGCTGAGGACTGTGGCTAGCGCGGCTATCGAAACATATTTTAGGCTGTGCTCAAAGCTTTGCAAGGTGACAGCCTGGATTAGGGTCAATCAACCAAATGTGACAGAAATGCCCACCTGAGCCCCTCCATCACACGATTCAAGTATTTTTAATGAAGGCATGCAAAACTTTATCTACATACTAGGTCCTCAAATTTTGCTCTTTTTAAAAATCTTTTTTTTTTTTGCATTTTTAGCCCTTATAATCCCAAAAGTACAACAACTAGCCACATAAAGGGCTAAAAACAAACAGACCGTCTCTGATGTCCATGCATGTTCACTTTATGAGGATTCTGAAAATCTTCTTCAGCACCTAAAGCCATTTGATCAGCTATTATATGGAATATCTGAACACTCTTTCACAGATACCAGTCATTAACAAAAAAAATGACTATCTCAGAAATCATTTTCACACAGCTTAAGGATGAGCCTGGTATTAAAATACAGGTTAAAATCGAGACCTTTGGGAGGTGGTTTAGCTCCCTGGGTTGAGTGGGATACCAATATGCCGCAAGGCCACCACAGATCATTTCCTGCATGCTTTTCACCTTACTCCATCTTCCCATCCTTTCCTATCTGCCTCACAGAAAAGCAGAACTTCCACAGGCTAAAGCTTAATTTGACCCAAGTGCAACTTTGCCAGTGCAACAATGATATATGCTGCAGAACTGATGCTCGAATCAAAAAATACAAAATAAAAATAAATTTGCCTTCAGAATATAACGCTAAGATTTTACCTCACCCTTACACTGCAGTAAAACTGATTTGAAACCAACATTTCATGAAATTATTAAGGGTCAGAAATGCTGAAAAGGTTTTGACATTCATCTCATGTTCTTTGACTGTAAAACTGCTAAACTTCTAAAATCCTGATTCTTCAGGGGTCAGGTGCCATGTGTTGATTCATTTCATATAAAAACGAGACATTACCGACTTGCGCTTGCATTCTGTGCATGTGTCCAAATCGTGCAGCAGCACGCCTTCCTTTGAGGATGAGTTGGCATCTTGAAAGCGAGGAGCTCATACCAAATATTACCAGAGCTAAAACAAAGACGCACTCAGGAACAGTCTGCAGTGCTTGGCCCAAAACTCGACCCATAAATGTCCGAGTCACTTTTTCCACACTCAGCAACTCCTGATTGCTGTATAGAAATGCTACAAGAGGGAGGGAGGGAGGGCAAAGGAGCGAGAGAGAGAAAATGACGAGGGAAAAGGAGGATGAAGCGACGACAGAGGCTGGCAACACAGAGAGGAGCAGAATATAAACCAACTTAACCCAAACCCAAAAGCCCTGAGCAATTAGCAATGACATCATGTACACGCACGCACGCACGCACACACACTGCATAGAAGGGCTAGGTTTGAATGAAAAGCAAGACAGCAGGGTATAGAGGCTGCAAGGATAGTGAGGGAGGCGAGGCAGAGGATGACAGTGCACCATTTCTACTATGGTGGTACAGCCAGTGACACATTCAGTTTTGCAATTGCACAAATGAACTCACCAAACCGACACCGCCACAACCACAGCTTAAAATAGGGAGCACAAGCTGTTTACCAACAAAGTGCTTATAAAAAATAAAAAAAAGGAAGCAAAGGCAGGAAAAGGGAGAACTGGGAAGATATTTAGATCAGACTCAAAGCATGCTTTACTCATGAGGCTTTTTAACATGACTGCACCTTTGAAACAGATACAACAGTAAGCAAGTACCAGTGCAAATGTGATGCAAAACAAATACAGCAGAGCCAGGAGAGAAAGGCTGGCAGTGAAACCTCAGTGGTGCACTCTAAAAGAAGAAATCGGGTCCTCTGACAATTGGTGTTATTGTCAACAACTTCAGCACTCCTTCTCCTCATAGGCTGCAATATATTACATGAACTGTGTCCTGAGCGTTTACAGTCTTACCACAAGAGTCAACAGTGACGCTCCCTCTAGGTGTTTATGCACAATCATTACATATCCCAAACTCTCACTCTCTCCCCTCTCTCTTTCTCCTCCCTACCTCTAAGAAAATTAAAACAGGAAAGCTATTCACGTCCTCCTCTAGATTCTTTATATCGCAAAAACATAAACATGCAATTAAGTGGCTCCATGTTTGCATAAAACAAACAGCCGTATCTTCTCAGGGAGCTCTGGCAGAAACAACCAGAGGAAGGCTGGAAATGATTAGCTAGCCACAACCAACCAGGACCAAGCACCACTGTAAGTCCCTGACTGGGCTCCCAGGGGTTTCTGATGGCCTACAGCCCCACACACTATTCAATGTAATATGCCTAAGTGAAGAGAATACCCCCTTTATGCCTGTTTGTTTCACAATGAGCCTTTTTATTACTTAAATTGTTGCTGTAAACAGAGCACGACATGGGAATGTTTCCAACCTCTGGATGGAAACCACAGGACAGAAAACTGGCGCAGGCTGAATTAATCTGTCAGCTAATTAGTTCCAAACAGAAAATTAATAATTGATTAAAGGTTTAAGCCACTGTTGGAGTGACAGACTGATACTTGTTGGATCAATCATCTTAAATTTAAATGATTTACTATACAACTGAAGATGTGAGGAAGGTCACATTGTTGCCTGATCCACGAATAACTGATAAAAACACCAATCTAGGCTTTACTCAAAATTTTCTGATTTTTTTATTTTATTTTGGTCACTTGCCGAAATGAATATTATATCTTACTGACTTAGCTTAATGCACCAAACTGGCTAGTTGCCTCATATGAAGGTATTTAGGGGTGTGAAGCATAAAAAAAGCCTTGTTTTTGTCTTGAGGTTGGCCAAGTTTGGATGATTGGACAGTTTCCCCCGTCTCTTACCTGAGCCTAGGCCCTCTGCATGAACACGACACACGTTTAAGAGCCGTTAGGTGCCACAAAGGTTATTTTACACGTATGTTGTGTCCACCGTCGGACGGTTCTCCTGTTTTTCGGTCCCCTCGACACAGCGGCTGAGTTAAAAAGTCAAGCTGGAGTCAGCGGCAGCTGCCTTGCCCGCGACCGTGCTCCGTTTACGGCTGCGCATTGAACGTGTGACTCCCTGAAAGCTGTGTGAGAGCTCGTCCACGGACACCGGGAAAATACGTGACAATAAAGTGAAAGAAGCATACCCTGGGTCCCGTAAATGCCCCCTCCCCTCATCTGCCGCCCCAGCCTATCCTCCTATACCACCACCACCTTCGCCAACCGTTTGTAACACAGCGGGCCCCTCAGATGCCAATCACTGCGTCGCCCGGGGAAGATTACGGGAAAAGTTAACTCCCGTTTTTCATTTGAACGAGACGTAAAACGACCGCAAGTCCCTGCGTTGAAGCGAAATTTATCGGCACACCACATCACTCACCTCTTCTCCTGCGGGTTCACGTACTCCTCGCAGAGCTCCTGTCTTTTTTCTCTCTCTCCACCCCTCCGTTCTCGGATTGTTTCCCTTTTCTCCTCCCTCCCAGATGCCGCTGGTCTCCGGCAGGGGGAACCGGGGGACGCTGCTCCGGAAGCAAACGCTCCTCTGTTTTTACTGCCTACGCAGAGAGCGGCTCAATATTAGCGCTTTAATCTGTGATGCCTGCTGGCAGCTTTAAATCAAGAGGTTTCAGTAGGAAAGATGAACTGTTGGTTAGGAAAGCATTGTCCAAAAAAAAAGTGACAATGAAAATGTCGACAGAAAGCATGATTATTCCTAACACACGAGATGGGAAGGAATAACTGCAGAGAATAGGTTAAAATGTATAATATAATAATAAGCAAGCATAATGTGGAAATTACTGTATAAGCAGTACTGTGCAAAAGTCTCGAGACATCTTAATTTCTTTCTGAAGATCTTCCAGAGTTTTCCTTTGGACATAGGTTGCTTATTCCCTATTTTTTCAGTTCAGATCTTGCACCTGAAATTTTTCAGTTTGTTTGTTTGTTTGTTAAGACGCTTAACACATCTTTAGGTACACACAATTTGTTCTCATATCTTTAGTTAAAGTCATATAAAATGCCAATTGGGGCTTTATATAGCTTTATTTTTCAGCACGAGAAGCATCCCAAATACACAGCGAATGCAATAAAAGCACACTCGGATAGAAAAACACATCCAATGAAACTATCAGTCAAGGTTTGGCCTCCCCAGAGCAAAGACCTAAACACTATTAAAGTGTTGTGGGATCATGTTGACAGAGAACAGAACAAAAGGCAGACAACATCCAAAGACAAGCTTTGAATGTCCTTCAAGAAGCCTGGAGAACTAAGACTACCTAAAGAAATGACAAGAAAGCTGCCTGAAAGAGTTGAGGCTGTGCTGAAGAATAAAGGTGTCATACCAATTATTGACTATTGACAAGCTTATTTAAATTGTTCAAACTCTGTTTTTGCCATATATACTGAATTTTTATGTACGTTTGCACATGTTGGCATCAGAAGCTGGTTTTCCTTACATGCACAAACAACCAGCACTTCAACGGCATCTAAGTCTGGACCTTTGCTTTCGACTATACCAGTTTATAACATCAGTTTCTTCTATGTGGAAATGATAATTGTTTGAATGAAGCTATCAGCAATTTCCCTTGGACATCTGCAAGCACTGTTAGATATGATCCGCGCTTAATAGTAGGTATTAGAGTCTTCTCTTTATAAAGCTCAAAAATGTCTACTGCTGCTGTGGCCTCCCTCTTTGATTTGTCTGTCTGTTTTCACTAGCAAACTACAGATTTGCTCTAATGCTCTGTGAACAGTGAAGATTTTCTCCTTGCAGGTCAAATTAGTGGCAAATCCATGTTATTGTAGATTCTTTTCATTTTTACTAGATACAAACACTTTTAAGCCTCAAGCAGTCTGCTCTTGGGCTGAATTTTATAGGTTGTTTGAAATCCTCAGCTCTTGGAAATTTTTGTTTGTTTATATTTTAAATCCTTTCCCAGATTCACACACTAGCTTTATGGTTTTAAGGTATGATAAAGTTAGGGGTGTACTTACCTTTTCTATGTGACTAAACTGTTATTTCATTTTTTTCAACTGTGAAAATAGTACAAAATGTCTATGTGTCTTTGATCCCCTTATCCAAGCACTGGTGCAGAAAAAAAATCTAATATTTGCTTGTTCAAGTATGTTCAAAAGGTTAACTATTACTGCAAGTACAGTGTAAATAAACCTGTTTTTGTAGCCGTTTGTACTGATAATAAGCAAAACTGTGCAACAGTTGAGCCACAAACAAAAACTGACTGTGTGAAATGAACATACTTATACGTAGGCTATACCATTTTGGTTTTGGCAATTTTTAAGATACATTTCATAATATACACAAATGAATGCCATATAAGATCTGGCAACAGTGCATATTTAGTTAAGGCTGAAAAATATAATACATAAGCACATACACAAATTTAAAAAGAAAAATCAGTTCAATTCAATAAAAGTTAAGTGGGCATAATCCAGTTTAGGCTGGAGCCACGCTGGGTCTATGAAATGTGGAGTTTAATGTATGCTGGAGTTTATGTTTGAGTCAACACGTGAAGTGAAACATTTCTGTATTTAGAGGATTTAACAGGTTGCTTTTGACTTTTCCTCTGCTGCTATCCATTGGTCATGATAACATTTACAAATTAAACATTTCTATGAGTTGTAGTTTGCAGTGAGCGCTTTATGTTGCACCCTTAATATGAATAATACAAATAAAGACAAAACTTTATTTTATTTATTTAATCATAAAATTAATATGGTGTCATTCAGCATAGACCAAATTTGGGGAATATTCTTTTAAAATTATGACACCTGGTGGTGAAATCTACTTACTACACTGTGTGACGTGGTACTTAGGCATTTTGAATTAGTCCAAACTAAATCACATAAATGGGTCTTTATTCTAAAGTTATTTTGTGACACACTGTGTCAAGTATTTATAACTGATCATTTGATTTCACAAAGAAAGTAACGCTTACATGGTTAACAATAAAATAAAGTAATGTTGGCGATTTTACTAAAAAAAAAATCTAAACAAACAAACAAACAAACATCAAAGTGGAAAAACGGAAATATTATTTATTTACTTTAGCAAATATTTATGCTAAAAAAAATCTACTGTCAGCTTTGAGGATTAATAAACAGAGACAATACGTTTTCCCACTACCTGTTGTTGGAGCAGTAACTAACTACCCAACAGCAACATTTAACTATTTGGGTGCAAATAACCCCAGTTGGAACTGCTGGCATGGGCTCCAAATCGCCAGTAGCCTCCATTACATGAAATGTAGTAAGTGTATTTAAGTAATGTAAATCTAACTAATCTAAGGAAAATGTTTACTTTCAAGATGAAACACGGGTGAATCTGTGAATCATATCTTACACATATCTCTCATGAGTGATATCACATCATTCCTGTCACAAGATAGAAGCTACATTCAGTTTTTGCAAAGTTTTTTTTATATATACTATATTTATATATTTAAGTTTCACTGAAATTAAAATGTTTTTTCCACCGGAAACCTGGCCAAGAGGACAGCAAAAAGGAAAAATTGCAACTAATATAAACGCCTGCTGCTATTACTCCAATCCTCCAGGGGGCGCTGTGATAAAGCCACCGAACAGTTGCAGACCAATCACCGTTTTCCAGCAGTTTGAACAAGAAGCGGGTTGGATTATTCCGATTTCTAGCAAGACAAGAAAAAGATAAAGCTAGCAACCATGGGTACAGGCTAAAACTGTTATTACGCTTGAGTTAGTTGAGAATTAGTTCTTCGGTTACGCTTTATTAAAATCATTGTAGTGGTTTGGTGGTTTTGCACAGTCAACGGTCGATATATAAACCTGTCAGACTGTGGCTTACTCCTGTGTGCTCCAGCCGCGGTAAAACTCCAGTTGTAGTTTATAAAAGTTTTACCTTTTGGCACGATTGTTGCTGGGAAGTCAAACATGAAGCCAGTAAAGCCGCTATATCTGAAGACGTACGGGAAACAGAGGCGGAAGGTGTCCGCCTGGATCTCACCTGAAGACCGCAAGCAGGCCTTCGACAGCACCCCGTCCTCCTCGGATGTCTCCGTCTTTGAGCCGTCCAAACCTCAGAGGATAAGGTATGTTTATCATTTTCTTTACTAAACCGTCTTTTCAGTATTTTCTCTACATTATGGATCACAAAAACTGTGCAGCTACTTTTTAGTTTTAGCTTATAAGAAATATAATATTGGTGTGTATGGAAGCCACAGAAATGCCAGTCCATACAGATCTGAAGTCTTTAGTTATTAATATATTTATAAAGGATTCGTTTTATTATATTTTTACTATATGAAAATAAATATAGTTAAATATCTTAAATACACCAAACTGTAGCTAATTAAAACAGTGGCAAAAATGTAGAGTAAATCAACAGTTTGTACATACATAACAACCCCCTGTGGACGTGTGCAAAGTACAGTTTAGTTGTCAATCAGTTTCCTGCTCTGATTGTGAGCCTGACTATCTTCTTTGCTTCATCTGCTTTTCATTTAACAGGGAGAAGAGCACCAACGCCTTGACTGGAAGAACCGTTCGTCCTGCCAAGAAGAAAGCAATGTTTTGTCTGACTGAGAAGAGTGTGGATGAAGAGGACATGAGCAATGAGGAGAAGGCACCTCCTCTCCCTCCACCTGCTCAGCAGAGCAGGACAGCCAGGTCTGTGAATATTGTAATAAATGGTAAATAGCATTGCAGTCAGTATTACTGCATTTGAATTATTAGATTATCTTAGGCTAGAAAAATATCCTTGAAGTAGTTTGCTTTTTTTGTTGTATTGTATGTGTGAGTGGTCCACACCATTTCTTTCCCTTCCTTAGAAAGAAGAAGAGTACTGTGGCCAGTCGTAGAGCAGTGCGTCCTGCCAAAAGAAAGACCATATGTCGTATAACGGAGACTAGCAGCGATGAGGAGAACAGCAGGATGCTCGCTCCACCTCCTCCTTCTGTATTAACTCAGCAGAGCAAAACAACCAGGTCTGGGCATTTAAAAACAACAAAGCAACAACACATTACTAAAATGACAACGCATGTTGAGAGTTTTGGGGTTCTATTAAATATAACCACAACTGTGAATGTAAGCAGAGGTTTGACATTTCTGGCAAACTGAAGGCTGATCAAACAGTTTTCAGCAGTTTCTGTGAAATGTATTCCAAAAGCTGCAGTTTGCAGAGTCAGCTCTTGAGCTGCTTGTCTAAATCAATATCAAATGTAAAAAAATATACTGACAATTGCACTTTGGCTGCTCT